CCCAAGCACATTCTGCACGTACGAGGTTCTTGTGAGACCAGCAGCGAGCAAAATCCCATGGGAAGTCCTGTGTAGTTAGTTATTTCCTTTCCGGTGATTCATCTCGTTTATCCCAAACATTGACATTCGGAAAACATTCCGAATGCCAGGTATTTCCTCACCTTCCAGCCACCTGTGCCAAACACATCCTTAGCACTGATAAATGTGTGTAGGAAGGCGGTGATCCCGTATTACCCATATTGGATGAAGGCTGAGCCTCTTTTCCTCACCCACCCACACAAAAATGTTCACTTTGCAATGAGTGATATAAATTAACAGATCCTCTGCATCATTCCAAGAGAAACATCAGGAGTTCATCTGAGGCCTTAATCTTGCTGCATTTCAGTTTGACAGCGTTCCTCACTTTGAAAATCTGTAATTTCACTGTGATACCACATCTTGGTGTGGAGCTAAGCTGTGCCTTCAGAAGGAAAGGCTGTCCAGCAGAGTCAGGCCAGAGTCATTTCAACCCCAGATGCTTTAACTACCAAAGAATATTTTCAAATCACACATTTCTGATGCGACATGTGCGTTTCTTGGTGCCATTTTAGAAGTACAAAATCTGATGGCCCATCCCAAGGCATGATGTGTTCAGCACCTTCGACACCCGCTGAATCCAATGGGAATTGAACACGCTCAGGATTTAGCATAACTGAGCAGAAAAGCAACAAACATGTTTACATTTAAAAATTAAAACCTTGAGCTTCAGCCAGGACAAGATTTGAATGGTATACTGGGTTTTTTCCCCATATAGAGACTTTACTCTTTCGGGTTATTTTTTTTAAATTTTTTGATGCCTTCACTCCAAAAAGCCAGTCTCTTTTTAGGCCACTACATAGGATTGAATCCATTGCCCTTTAAAATGCTAGGCAGAAAGCCTTTTCCTTAAGTCTGGAAGATCTTTTCCTTCATGGAAAGCTGGATGCAAAGAAGGTAAAAAATCCTTATTTGTCAAATGTCCTTTTTTTCCCCTATATCTAAGCCCTCTCTCCCCTTTACTGCAGATGTTCTTCACTAAAGAAACAAATTTTTTCTAATCTCTTAAAAGACTTTTTTCCCTTCCGTACACCTACAACGGAACTCATCCTCATTCCTTTCATACTTAGTACCTTCCTCCATATGAGAGAGAGGAATTTGGAGAGGTTTTAGTTGTTTGGGGTGTTTTTATATTAAAGTTAACAGTTTAAATATGTCAATATCTGGTAAACAAGAACACGCATGTTTTGGAATACATATTTTAAGAGTCAAAGGCTTGAGCTGATTGCAGCTAGTGTGCTGCTGCAAAGACCTTTTTGGCACGAAATCTGCTTTTAGTTGAGCCAGAGCAAACCTTCATCAGCTTGCTTTTCTTCCCCTTCATTCTCTGTGCTCCCATTGAGAGTTATTGCAAAGTGAGAAAGATATTTTTTACATTAACTGTTCTGCTTCGCCTAAGAACCAATGAAAGATTTACAGGTTCCAAGATTCCCGCTTTACTATTGTGTCCTGTAAGCATGGAAACTGATAATACTATAGAAACCATGCCAGCCTTGGCTTTCACCATGACCTGCTTTCCACCAATTTAAAAGCAGTCAGTCCCATTATCTTACTTCTATAAGCACATTCGTCTGAAGAATATTGTCATCGTATCCAGATTATTTAATTTTTTATTGCTTCTAACCAACTTCAAACTCAAAACAACTCAACACTTGATTTCAGTTCCTGCCTAAAACTCCCCCTCCGCTACTGTCTTTTAAATTTTAACAAAAACATCATCTGACTGGAGCTCAGACAATAAAAGAGGGTCCCTCACTCTACTAGGTTTATTTTCCTTTTTATCACCTACTTTCTGGAAAAAAATATTTCTACAGTGGGGAAACACTGGCTTCATCCCTTGCTCATCTAAGCCCAATTTAAAAAAAGTGGAGCACCTGAGTTTGTGGAAAGCCAATCTTTCCTAAAGATGGGTTATATGGCTGTAGCAGCACCATGAAAACAAGCAAAAAAGAACTCACACAGCTTGTACTTTAAAACATCGCTTTTAAATACTTCTGTGGCCAGATCCTTAATTAATCCTACTTTAGTGAGAAATCAAACAGATAAAACTTCTCAGCATGAAGTACAGCAGTGAAAACACTCTAGGAAAAAGCTGTGATCAAATTGGGAACAACCTCAGAGTGAAGACATCCTAATTATACAAAACCATTAAAAAACATTAAAAAATATTGATAAAATTTGGACCTCCTGAAATTTGGCCCAAAATAACATGCAGAAACACTAGATTAAACCTTGTAAAAGTTTCAATGCAGTATGATGTTTGTTGTTTTCACCATTTTTATCACTTTTAAGGACTTCTCCTCTGTGCCTACCAATTTCTCTCCTGATTTACAGACACTGAAGTATCCCTGAAGGAGAGCCTCAAGCACTGTTGCACAGCACCGCTCCAGAAGGGGCTGGAAATGCAGATCAAACTCAAATCCAAGTATTTCTAGAAAGCTGAGAATTTGTTTGACCTAAAAGCTAATTGTACAGACATTGCTTGTCTAGTGCCCTTTTTTTATTACATTAAACTTCACTTACACACGAGAGAAGGAAATTGTAATTCACCCTCATAAATTATCTTCCATTTTCTCTCACATGAAACAGTGGGAAGTAATCACCCTATTTTGCTATCTTGATATATCTTTAGAGGTACTCATTAAGAGAAATGTGCATCCAGCAGGTGAACAGAGATAACTGGTCATAAGTGATGACAGGCAAAAATATATGCAAGTATCTGATCTGAAAAAGGGCCAAGTTGGAAGCCAGATGCTCACTGAACTATCTGCTTTACTGGCTTGTTTATTCAGCTCACGGCGGGATGATTCAACGCATCTTTACACGCAACTCCCTATTCAGACAGCATCTTCTAGTCACAAAACCAAGCATTTTCCATTTCTTTTTCTAAACAAAGGGTAGAACAGTGGAATGGGAACTTGCCATTCAGCAGCGGAAACTATTTGTAAAGCTGGGAAGCTGGAGACACTAGGAAGAAAAGGCTTTAATGAAACTGGCCACTGTGCGTGCCAACTGCCAAGACTTCTTATGTATTCTTCCAAGGAACACTGACTGAGGCTTTTTCTGTATTTACTCTTTGCATCCCAGTTATTATAATACTTTGAATGATGCAAAAGAACAAAATTCATGAGAAATGCCGGGTTAGAAACAGGCAGCCCTTTTTTCCCCCTGCAACTAGTGTGTAGCTGCACTCAATGACCCATTAACTTATTTTTGGTTCTGTACAAAGCCAGCACCAAGACATTTGTGACTCATTATCAACCAGGCACAGGAATTCACCACTAGAGCTTCAGCTGATCCAGATCCAAAGGAAATCCCCATATGCTTGGAATTTCTAAAATACAAGCATTACAGTTGTTGCCTGGTAAGACAACAGTTTCCATACACAACGGAGGATACATTTATGTTTATGTTTTTGGAGGCTTGTAGCTCAGCCAGAGGCAGATAAATTTCCCTAAGGCAGCAAAAGTTGTATCACTGTCACCTGGATATGAACACAGCATTGTTTCAGGTCACTGCTCCAAAGTGTGGGGGCAGTAGAGCTGCAACAGTTTTTCAGACGAACACTTAAGCCTGAAATCCTTTTTATTGTTGCCTTTTTTCCATAAGGATAGCCCACATTCTGTGAAAATGAGATGTGCTACACAAATCAGCCTTGCTCCCTACACAGCTTTCATTCATTCTTTCCCAGAGCACAGTCTGTCCTGCGCTGTGGAGGAGAAAAGAACTTCAACTTTGGTGTCCCCTGTGACACAGGTTCCCAAAATGAGCCCGGAGCACACTCAGCAGTGCCCTCAGCAGCCAGAGGTTACTTAGTAGGCAACACAGCATTTTACATCGTACCAGCATTTGGGTGATAGCTACATGAGCCGAAATCTTGCCTAGAACATCATGTTCAATGACCAGTCCATTGAGAAGGGCCTTCAGCATTACAAGAACCACACAAACACTCCACTATCACCCTCTCTTTTGGACCAAGACAAAAGTTTACCTTATTTCCCTGCCCTTGTAAACAGCACACTGAAAGCTGGAGAGCTAAGGCAAGCACATCACATTTTCCACTCTGCTATGGAAAAAGCAGAAGGTGACTATGTAATTAAAGATGTTGCGATAATACACTAGGACTGCTTACAGGAAGGTGGAAATTCTGGTCTTTCGTACCTTTTAAGGACTTGACTTGGCAATCTTAATAACATTCTTTGAATTTTTGAAGTAATATAATTACTCTCAATTAATTAAAATGAGGAAAGAATGAAATATCCTTTCACGAGACACTGACATGAATAATATTCAGGGAGCAGAGTGGTGACCACTAATGTACTGCTACTTATTATAACTGCCAGGCAGCAGCATCTGAGAAAGTTTCTCCTTCTACCCAGGACAGGAAATAATTGTCTGATGTTCATTGTCAGAAGGTAACTAATAGCAATGAGCTGTAACAGTGAAGTGCAGCTGTGAGGTCCTGATTATATGGAATAGGAACACAAGCTTCAAAGTGACCAGTGACTGCCTTGCGATTCCCCTACACTGTTTCATAACTCCATCTGAGGCTCTCAGTCACAATCCTAAACTCAAAAGATCCCTGGGGATGCGGAGAGAGCCAGGTGAACTGCCTGGGGAGTCTGGGAGCACTTGCCTCTGCCTCCCTCCACTCCTGGCAGCACATCCTTTGTGAGGCTATCTGGGATCATACTGTGGCTCACCCTGGAAGAGACCCTTCCCTTGGCAACAATCCTCTGATGGAGATCTTGAAGTAAAAAAGCCCCAGATTGCATTCTGCTCTCTGAGCAGAAACACAGAAATCTCTCAACCGTTCCCCTTCACAATTCTGACCAGCACTTGGAGAAGGCTAAAGGGATGGTATCTGGATGATACTTGAGTTCAACTTAAACATCATTTTGTGCAGTGACTCCAGAAAGTTTTACCTCTGCTCCTGAGTACTTCTGTGTGTGCTCAACGAGCTCAGCTAAGCAGACTTCATGGCTCACTGGCATGGACTGAAAATGAAGTTTGAAGATCTCCCTGCGAGTGGCTGCATCTGGCAACGGCACGTAGATAATTCTGTCTATTCGTCCTGGTCTCAGCAAGGCCTGCAATGAAATCACAGGAGAAGTTACAGCACATCAAGAGAGTAAAAACCACAACTCAAAACCAACACCACCACCAAATAACCAACAATTTCAGCAAAAGCAAGAAGGTGCACAAGAAAAGACAGTAAGGCTACTCAGTTTGTGAAATACCAGTTAATGGAAAAAAGGAATCATAAAGGAACCATAATAATTTTCCTAAAATAATACTTCTAGACTTGTTGCAAGGTGTGCTGGAATGTTAGGGCTTGGCAGATGGACAGGTGGCAATGGACACATCCCAAGTTCAGATCTTCCATCAAGACATCAAGTGGAGAAAAAAAGGTTTTTTGAAGTGAAGCTTACATTCTGAATTCATGCTGCTTTATCCCAAATTATTAGAGCTGCATGTGCTTACTGAGGAACAGATTATTCTGACAGGCTTTTTATGCAAAATAAGGTAACAACAGACAGAGGCCAATGATGCTCAGATTCAAAACGGGAGATGGAAGGAAAAAATTTCTAGAAAAGAAGCACAGTCTCGGGGCAGGTCATCGGGGAGGCTGTGGAAACTCTTGTCCTCAGGGGTTTTATGGCTCAGCCAGAGGAAGCCAAGCTCTCCCTGATCAGGTGCTGGCAATAGTCCCACGTGAGCAGAAGGGGGATCACAGGGCCTCTGGAAGCTCTCTCCAACCAGCATTTCTGTGACTCTGTACTTTCTGGACAGGGTCAAAAAGTAAACATTGTCTATATATAAAACAGTTATATCCGATATACAGGAGAAGCCAAGCTCTTAAATACATGAGAAGAGAGGAAACTCATTTCCCTATATTTATTAAAAAAATCTCCAAGATTCTTGAAAACCATCTACAGTAAAAAAAAGTAAAAATCCTCCCAGCCTTTCTTACTTGACATATGAAAAAAACCCCATAACACAATAATCCTGTGCACAGCGAATGCACATAAATAGTATTTAAACTATTTTTTAAGAACTGAACAATGTTTATAGGATTCAGCATGTAACCTAAATTGTTTTTATGTTATGGTTCTCCCTTGGGCAGAGTAGTTTGAGTTCCAGATGACTAGAGATATTGCATGGCTGTCCTGGGCTGTCAGCCAATAAGTCTTTTCCCAGCCTGATCATGTCAGTGAAAGTCATGCTGAAAAAATAGTAGGAAAGAGCTTTCCTTCCTGCACAGCATTGATCAAGTTAACACCCTTCCTAGAGTTTCTTTAAAAAGACTGTTGTGGTGCTTCAGAGTGGAAAAATGTATCCTGAATGTTAAGAGATGTCTTGTTATTTTTAAAACAGAACATGAAAACACTCAGCAGAAAGCACACGGCACCACAGTGTGCTGCAAGGAACTGTGTAAGGATAGAAGAAGGAATATATGTGCTGGGAAGACCAAAAGGTCTGTATCCATCCCTATACCCTGTCCTTGCAGTGGTCAGTGCTAGATCCCTACAAAAGAGAGTAAGAAACAAGTTGTCCAGAGCACTCCTGATACATCCACCAAAGAACTCAGCTCACTGCTGATAACTCGATGAGTGTGTAATTCAGCATCTAAATCGTGTGTGTGTGTCAGGATGTTGCCAATTTTTGCCAAGGCACTTGAAAGAGAAATTTGCATGTTTCAAGACTAGGCTTGGAGGGAGAGGAATTATTACTGCAATTGTGTTCTGCATGCTCTTAAGGAAATGCCCATAGCTAATTCTATTATTTAGGAGAAGCAGGAGATATTCATGTGAGTATGGTGGTGTGCCTCTTTTAAATCAAGGCAGGTTTCATCAGGACACCCAGATAATTGGAACGTTTTCTAGAGCCAGCTTAGCTTCCCAGTGATGAATGACCAGGGCTGTTGTGCAAGTGGGACAGGAAAAATGCCTGGTGCCAATGAGCTGGGGGCAAACACTCCATTGCCTCGCACTAGTTTTTGGTTCTGAGACAGTCTCCTAACACAACAGAGCACCCACGCTGGCAAAGCACAACTGCAGATGTAACACAGAGAATATACTTTTTTTAGTCAGTTACTAGAAACTGTATTTCCTCCAGTTTGTCCCCAAAGCTTTGTGTTTTATATATAGTCATAGCTGGAGGTCCAAGTTTTAAACACACTATCATTACTTTCTTGCTACAATCAGGCATAGGGACCTTGTCCAAGATGGCCAGATGTGCTGGGAACTGTACAAAAAAGCACAAGTCAGTCTCAGCAGCGCTTGCTGCTTATATTGACATAGACAAAAAGGAGAGAAAATATTCTGTAACCTCAGCTTGAGACAAGAGTCAAATTCCCTCCAGCCCCCAGAGACAAAAGCAGATTGAACTGGGCGCTGGTCTCCACCAGCCCTCCCGACATGGTGACCCTGGGCACAGCTCTATTGCTCCTTGCTCTGTTGTCACCACCTTGTCCCTTCAGCAAGCCACCAACCCTCCACATTCCTGAGGAACTAAAAGCAGAGGGAGAGGGTGAGGCAGGAGCTTGCCTTGATCCATCCTGTGTTACTGGAGGACAAAGCCCAGGTGAAGGGCCATAGGGGCTGCAGAGTTGCTTTGTTGCCGGTGCTCAGAATGCAACTGGAGAGCAACAGCAAGTCAAGGCCACTCTGGTTTGCAGGGCATCATGCTGCTCTCTCAGGTCTTTGGTCTCTGTGTACTTCCCATGGAGGTGCTTTTCCTTTCCGGGCAAAATAATTCAGGACTTAGGATTGGGGTCCACGTAGAGGTCAGCAATAAGAGAAAAAGGTACCCCTCATGACGTTTTTGCTCACTGAAGGACAGTGAGCTCTTTCCGGGTTGCTTAAGGGAGCCTGCTGTGGCATATGGTGTGCACACCTGTGGCAGCACTGCCAGTTTCAACACCAAGGCCTGGGTCATGCTCACCAGCATGCTGGCAGCAGTGCCCAGTTTGAGGGATGCTGGCATCAACTTTGTCCTCACCACCACTTTTCACACAGACCTAGAAGCTACATCTTTTCTCAGTGGGATGTTGCGTGATCCAGGCTCCGCTATGGGAAGGGTTTTGGAGATGGGTGCTCCAAGCATGCCATGACTTTCACAGGCCGTTCCAGAAGATGGAGCTTCAGTCTTGCAATGTGCATTTGGAGAATTCTGAGGAGAGTGATAAGGACAACGAGGTCACCTCCGGACCAGCCCCACTGCCCGCGGGTGCACTGTGATTTGGTGATGACCCACTGGCGAGGCAAAAGGTGAAGGCACCTGGATTGATCCTCACTGTGGAGATGGAGGAAGAGGGATTCAGCAGGAGCAGGCGGTGTCTTGGCTGAGCAGGAGGAGAGGCAGGTGGGGGAGGGTGAAGAGTTGAAGTGGGGCTGCAGGTTCAGGCAGATACAGCTGCACAAAATGAACCGCTCGCGGCTGGGAGATGCAGAAGCGATTTGAGGCGAGGAGCACACAGAAGGTGGGAAGTTGATGGGGCCAAAATTAATTGATGTGTGCGCAGAGCTACATAATTCACTGATGTCGAGATGTGAGGGTTGCATAAATTATGTCGGCCAGGAAGGGCACAAAATTAAGTAATTGGGGTTTTGGTAGAAACCAGAATACTTCAAAACCAGAACACTTCATGCCATTAAGGAATTCTTTTGCAGGTTTATGTAATTTTTTTTTTGTTTTTACCGCAACAGTTATGAAAAGGGTCTAAGTGTACATGCACTGAAAGGTTATTAGTGGTACATAGGTACAATGTTCTTCTGGGAGCACTAAGGAAGTGGGATAATTGTCATGTAATACTTAGTATCATCAATGGTAAAAATACATTTTTATGAAGAAGAAAGTGCTCCCCTTTCAAAAATACATGGTTCAATTTTTTCGTAATTAAAATAAGAGTATTTCTTCAAAATACATCATTGAAAAAGATAGCTAATTCAAAAATGTGTATTTTGTCTGCAATTATGAAGCTAATTATTTCAGGAAAGAAAACTTAAACAGATAAAGCTGGTAAAATATTTGTGGTTCCTATTAAGATGGACCAGAATTAACCTTAGGGCTTTGCTAATTTTCCTCCTCCTTCTCTTTTCCTTTTTTTTTTTTTTTTAAAGCATCTATCTTTAGTTAGCTTTTAAAAAATCGCATTGTCAAAGAAAGCAGAATTACAACACTGGCAGAAGCAGACCCAGCTGATGAGCTTTCTGTGGGATAAGAAAAAAAATAGCTTTCCTACTGACATACCTCCACAGCCATGCCTAATTCACCTAAAGCATTTTTAATCAGATCTTACAGCAAAAAGTCACAATAAACTGTGCGAGAGGGTAACCTGACATTAGAAAAAATAAGTATAATTAAAAAAAACCCAACAGTAAGAGGCATATTGAGGTGTGTAAGAGAAAACAAGTCAGTTCAGCAGGTACCAGAGCTCATCTGGAGAATCAGTTCTACTGCATGTTCTCTGCTGCAATCAATCTCCACAAGCACGAACAGATTTTTATACAACTTTCCTTTCAAGTAAGTACATTGCTTTTCATGCAGAACCTAAAAAATGCAACTAAAAGCTTAATTTTGCCTTTGGAGTCTGTTGGGATTAGACCACTGATGAAAATGAGAGGACTGGAAATAGTTAATTTGCAACTAAATCCTTCCAATTTAAATTAACAGTTGTTACCTATGAACCCTAGCTGTGGCCCCTAGTTACACAGAGCCCCTCTACACTACAAGAGATTCTCTGTATCTTGTAACCTCACTGGGTAATCCAAAATTGTTTTACTTTCATCATTACAGTCATAGGATGAATAGAATCAGACAATGGCCTGGGTTGGAAAGGACCTTAAAGATCACCCAGTTCCAACCCCCCTGCCATGAGCAGGGACACCTTCCACTAGACCAGGGTGCTCAGAGCTCCATCCAACCTGGCCTCGAGCATGTCCAGGGCATCCACAACCTCCCTGGGCAACCTGCGCCAGGGCCTCACCACCCAGCCATAGCCTTCCTGTAGTCTGTGCAAGCAATAACTCTGAGATGCTTTCCATGGTTTTCCCCACATGTCAGGGCAGATGCGTTGCAAGTGTGG